TACACACGATTTGATTGTATACGAATCACTATATTGATTGCATAAAATGTAATAAATATATACTTTTTATAATTTTGAGTGATCATGACCAATTAATTAGCTGAAAAATATTACATTTATTATAACAATTGCTTATGTGATTTTAAGAAATTTTACTATGACATAAAAAAAAATTAATGTATTAATAAACAACCACTTCATCATATAAAAAAATATTGATTTTATTGTAAAATATAATTTTATGTAACTTTCATATATTATTTAGTATAAAATATAATTACTAATTTTAATATTAACTATTATATTATTCAATAAAAAATATAATTATTAATCAATTAACATAAAATATAATGGTTTTTGTCTTAATTAACCCAAAAAAATGTAATGAAATATTTTCTTATTAATGAGATTAGGTGTATTAATGCCACATAAATAAAATTTATTAGGTTTTCTTTATTAGGTTTTATTAATGATTTGCCACATAGGTAAAATTTATTAGGTTTTATTTATTAGGTAAAATTTATTGCTTAGCTAGCAATTATATATATATAGATATAGATTAATTTTTATATGTTATGTATCCTCAATCCTATTAATGATTTTATTTTGAAAATCAATTTAACAATATTAAATTAGATTTTAGTCAAAACAAATAAAAGTTTTATGCTAGCTAGACGTGAATTTAAACTCCTAATAAAAAGCAATATAGTTTTGAAAAATTTCATATGTTTAAAGAATGTAACGAAAAAAAAAAATTATTTATTTTTGCTAAATAAAAATATTATTTCAATGCAAATATTATTAAACATAAATTTTATGTGAAATTTAATTCTAATTTGTATCGTCAAATTCAAACGAGTTTCGTGCGCGTTGTTGTGATGATAATACGCAGCCGCCCACAACCTCACTCGTTATCCTCTCTTGCAAAATTTGCTTTCCTCTAATTCGCTCCCCAGATTTTTTTATTTTCATTTTATGATTTTTCTCTTTGTCTCTTTTATAATAAAAAGAGAAGTAAAATAACCGTTTCCCCCCTAAAGCTCGCCTCTATATAATGTAGCATTTCTCAACTCTCCACCTCTCATTTCTATGCCCACAGATTTACCCATTCTTACGACCCGACCCGCCCCGCCCCATCCCGTCCAGGGCTTCAACCACCAATCAGCTTCTACCATGGCCACCTGCGTACAATCCCCACCCACACAAACCCAGGGCTTCAAATGCCGTCTCTCTAATTTTCGCCGCACAAATGCCCCCCAAACCCTAGACGAAGAACAAATCCACGATCTATGGCTCCGGATGCAGGACGAGGCGAGGTCGGACATCGATCAAGAACCAATTTTATCCGATTTCTATTTCACCTCAATCTTATCCCACGAATCCATGGAATCCGCCCTGGCCAACTATCTCTCCACGAAATTGAGCGATTCCAGCCTTCCGAGTACCTCCCTCTGCGACCTTATCCTGGGGGTGCTCACAGAGAATCAGGAAATCATGAGGGCCGTCGCCACTGACTTGACGGCCGTCAAGGAACGGGACCCAGCCTGCATCAGCTACGTCCACTGCTTCTTGAACTTCAAAGGCTTCCTCGCTATTCAGTCCCACAGGATAGCACATAGCCTGTGGTCGAAAGGTAGGACGATTTTAGCCCTCTTGATACAGAATAGGGTTTCAGAAGTTTTTGCTGTGGACATTCACCCAGGGGCCAGAATCGGGGCAGGGATTCTGCTCGATCATGCCACGGGTGTTGTAATTGGGGAGACTGCTGTTATTGGTAACAATGTGTCGATTTTGCATAATGTGACTTTGGGTGGGACTGGAAAGGTTTCTGGAGACCGGCACCCGAAGATTGGTGATGGTGTGTTGATCGGTGCTGGGACTTGTGTTTTGGGCAATGTTAGGATTGGGGAAGGGGCCAAGATTGGTGCTTGTTCTGTGGTTTTGAAAGGGGTGCCAGCTAGGACGACAGCTGTAGGGAATCCGGCTCGACTGATTGGGGGGAAAGAGAATCCGGTGAGGCTCAATAGGATGCCTAGTCTGACCATGGACCAGACTTCGCATATAATGGAGTGGTCGGATTATGTTATATAGTTTGTGTTTTTCATTTTTTTTGGTTTAAGAGAGAATTTCGAGTTCTCCTGTTTAGTTAGCACACATACAATGCAATATAGTATTGGTGATGGTTGTGGTATTGTAGAATAAGCTCTCATGCTGTGGGGTTTATTAGTCCTTTTATTAGTTTCGTTGGCAACTGTTTTCTCATTCTCTGTGTGGAATGGACAGTGGCGCTATGTAACACTGCCTTGTTTGCAATATAATTGACACTTGTTGGTTTACGAGTTGCTGTGTTCTTTGTTTGATTTGCCTGCTTTAACCTAGTGAGTGGTTTTGTTTATTTAGTTGGCACTTGGATGTGGGTTTATGGGCTGCTGCTTTGGAGTTTACTTGATCTGAATATAAGATGGAACGTCTTGCTAAGAATGGACATAAAACAGTCATGGAATGACATATCTTACCTTGATAATGTTGCAAGCGTTTGTAAACAAATCTAGCATTAGAAACCAGCTTCTTGTTTTTTCACATCAGTATCGTAGTTTTGTGTAGCTTTGCACTTCTGGCAAGTTAATGCATCTGCGTTCTGAGCTTATTTCTTCCTTATTTTCTCCATTAAATCTCCTTCTAGTGTATTCCTGGTCACCTCAAAATTTCAAAAACAATGTTTTGTTCCACGCATTTAATGGCAGAGACAAACATAGTGTACATTCAAGGCAGAAAACCTTGAACACCAAGTATGGTGATGGTGGCCAGTAAACAGCACGTTTGGACAATGATGTTTACTGGAAAATCAATGAAGCCATAAAGTTTACTGGAAAATATTATTTTTTTATATATTTTTATTAAAAAATATTATTACTTTCAGTCAAAAACATTATATACACATATTAAATATAAATATATAAATACTAATTATGCCTTTCTAATATAAATAATATTTTATTTTAGCTATTTTGGTTAATTCAATTAACCGATCTAATAGATCAATAAATTCGGTACGATGTTAATTTGTTGGTACAAAAATTCGATCGTTTCATACTGCATAACTAGTGTGTAGCCCGTGCTATGCACGGGTAAATAATATTAATAATAATTATAAATTAAAGATGAGGATAAATAATATTAACTATAATTATAAATTAAAGATGTGAGCAATGTTTTAAATATTGTACCGTACTGACCGGAATTACCGGTGGTTCGACCGGTACAATTACATTCAAGATATCGTTTGGCCAAAATACCCGTTTATACCGGTTTCATATCGCCAAATATCGGTTTTACCGGCAAATACCGGTCAAAATACTGGTACATGCCAATTATTTAAAAAAAAAATATATTTTTTAATATATTTTCATTAATCTATTTATATAAATTGAAAGTTCTACACTTAATTTCAATATGTTTACATTGTTATTAAATGTTAATTAATTTTATTAATTAAAGTTAGTTTTGTACATTATTTATATTATAATAACAAATTAATTTAATATTTATTGAAATCGGTAAAATAGATGGAACCGCGTACTGTTGGCTCGTCTAGTATGATTACCAGTAAGGTATTTAAAACACTGGATGTGAGGTTACATGTGATAAAATAGTCTATTGTAACATTATAAAATTTATCTTGTATAAAAGAACATAAAAAATGTGTGTTTAAAATATTAAATGTGAGAGAAGATTTACATATTATATATAAATTAAATCTTGAGATGATACCGAAAATTATTACGTAATCTCTGTGTGAAAATTTGAGCATAAAATAAACGGAGGCTTAACAATTCCACGCTTTATGCATACGCTTCATTTATCAATTTTATATAATGATTTTAAAATCTCGTTATTAAGATTTTTAGTCAAACGCGTATCAACAAAGTCTACATTCTTAGGATTTATGATGAAATATGAATAAATGATTTTTTTATAAAAGAAATCCGTATTTATTTGTTTTTGAAAATCAATGCAAACTCATACAGAGTTTTTATTCTTAACAAACTCCTACCATTCTAATTAAGTTATATTATTCCAGTTTGAACTTCATTATGATTTTAAAATCCGTACACGTGGTCATAATCTATATCAAGTAAACAATCCCCATATTTTTAGAAATCAGTATTCATCTGTTTTTGAAAATCAATGCAAACTGCTTTAATCACTTTTTAATATTAATTTAATTAAATAAAAAATGAGGCAAATTTGTACCAAATTTTAAATTCTCGTGCTCTATTACGACAACAGTTGTTCAATATCAAATTAATTAAATGAAGTTATTTTTTAATAAAATTCATTTAAGTTTTTTTTACTAAAATGAACGATGCATGCTCGTACCAATTTCCAATTCTCCACAATTTGAATAAGGGCTCCTTAACTTTTGAATAATGCTAAATTTCGTGTCTATCATTATGTTTGCGGGCAAATTTGAAATTTGTACGAAAGTTATTAGAAAATTGTTAACATTTGAATTTGAATTAAAGATTTGTATGAAAATTATTAGGAAATTGTTAACAATTGAATTTGAATTAAAGATTTGTTTTTTCTGTCTTTCCTAAGTTTGTTAAGGAAAGCAAGCATATTTTATTTAAATTTCTATTCCTTCCTTATTTAGAAATTTTAAAATTTGTGTTGCTTGCTATATTTAGTAAATAGTTATTCTTTTTATATAAGTATAGATAGCGATCGAAAATTGTGCCCAATAGTGCTATGCGAATCGCCCATTAATGACTATCAAATTGCATATCATTGACCAAACTCAACCGAACTAAAATGTTTGGTTTAACCGAACCATATTTATATATATTAAAAAAATACAAAAATATCAAAATTTCAACATCGAACAGTGAACTATATTGTGCATTTTGTACAGCGATGACATTTTGAAATTTTTTGAATTTTTTAACGTGCTTATACACAAACACACTATTGTGCAATTTATTTATCGTTGTTGTGCATTGCACTAAACATAAACTGTGCAATTATTAAATTTTAAATAAATTACATATGTAACCAATCAATTAACATGAACTATACTAAAATTTCTGAACATTTAATATGCATATCCATACACATATTATACAATTTTTCTAACAATATTTTACATTTATTAGATTTTTTAATAAAATGTACATTTAACCCATTAATTAAATTACATTATACCTAAAGTTCTTCAAAATTGCATTTTTGTCCCTAAAAATTACCTAATTCTCACTAAACCACCCCTAACCCTAAAATGCCTAACCCTGCCGTAGCCTCACACACAGCACCACGATCTTCAACCCAAATCGACTCTTCTTTTGCCTGAGGCGATTGAATCCGTAGCCCGACCGTGACTGTGGAAGTGGAACGGCTGAACATTGTCACCGTCATCCTACGCAAGGTCTCATGGCCGGCTGGAGTCGGCCGGGACTTAGACTCGCGCGGCGACAGAAGCCCTGTCGATTCTCACAAAGGCAGGCGATGGAGAATTGCACATGGCTGTCGACGGCGAAGTGTTCATGTCTGTGGCTGTTCGATCGTGGCGATGGCGGACCTGGTCGGTGGTGGAGCAGTTGCAGGCTGTGGCGGTGGCGACGGGACCGACGATGGTGGTTTGGTGTCGGCGGTCGGAATCCAACGGCTGCAAATGGTGCTGTCCGACGGTGTCCGAAGTGTTGTGCATCCGGCAGGCGACGATTGGGTTAGTGGTGTCTGTTGTGAGGCTGTGTGTGTACGAAGTGAGAAGTGAGAAGTGAGAGAGTGTGTGTGTAGTGTGTGTTTTAGGTGTAAGTGTGAAAGAGAGAGTTAGTGGGGTTGGGGCCCATGGGTGAGTAGGTAATGTCTATTTTAACGTAACTGAGTACCGCAAATACTTAGGTGCACCTAGGTACACCTAGTTAGGTGTACCACAAATGAACATGTTATGTTACAAAATGAACATGTGCAAATCATGTTTGTACATGTTCATTTTGTAACATAACATGTTCATTTTAAACTGCCATGGCACACCTAGCTAGGTGTACCTAGGCACACGGTAGTAGCACTGAACTGAGTACATTTGACCACAAAATGTACACTTATTTATGAAGTTGTTATTACATATTTGACTTGATCATGACCGTTGATATCTTTGATCTAATGGTACAGATTTATTCTCATTTATTTCATTATATAGCATTTTCATATGATCTCAATTATATATAATGTCGGTCTAATAGTTAGATCAATCTAATTCTTGACCTAAGGTATTCCATAAGTCTAGTACAATTATCCAAGTGTGTCTTTAGGAAGCGTGATTGGATATGAATTATAACCGATTTTAATCAATTTTGACCGATCAAGTTATTTAGTTTTCAATAACCACACTTCAATTCAATTCAACTCAACTCTCCTAAATAAATAATACCAATCAACCATCTTCACACATCACATCAACTTTAATTCGTTATTCATTTACTCACACAACTTTAACTACTTATTTTGTTTCAATACTTTTACATCACATCAACTTTAATCATTATATTTTAAATATTATTTAATTACAAACTAAAAATCACTTATTCAATCAACTTTATTTATAACAACTCTTTTTAATTAATATAATTGGATCATGATTGGTTGAAATCATCTCATTTTTAGTCTTCCCTCGCATGTTCGTTGTCGTCAACGGAGAGTGTCGTCTTGGCCACCACGTTTTCTCGTGCCCAAGGCAAGTAGAAAAGATACCTATTACGGTCTCCTTTTGACTTTTCGTCTATAGCGATTGAAAGGAAATCCACCACTCACAAGAAAAAACCACATCTCCTTTACTTCACTTTCACTATATATTAGCTGGAATATTCGTACATAAATGTGATAGATTATACCAAGACTTCACAACTTTGGAGTTTAGACATCTTTTACTCAGTACACGCACGAATTCGTATGATGCATGAATTTTATTATAAATAAATATGTTTTAATATTATTTAATATATTTTATTAATAGCAATGACTAATAATTATTAATTTAATATTCAATTTTAGTTTTATATTTGCAGAATCTTAAAGTTTTCGTAAGTTCAATTTTAATATATAATAATCTATGATTTTATGTTGACTTACTCATTTTTCAGTTTTAAAATTTTCTTGTTTTAAATATTTTAATTTTTCTTATAACTCATTCAACATAAGTTTTTTTAACTAAAATTTTTAAAAATTCATGAAAAAAAGTACACTAAAGAAAGATTTGGAAATTTCAAATCTATATATTACTAAAATGAAGCAAGTCTATAAAAGTGATACTAAATTTTTCCGTCAAATATTATTATTTAAAAATAAAAAAATTAAGTGGACAAAATCGAAAAAACAAAGGGGGGTCAACCAAAATAAAAAGGACGTATTCAATAAATACGTTTTATAAAGAAAAATATATTTTGGTCTTTCGTTTAACAGTAAAATGTATTCCTAGAATACGGTTTAGTTAAAAATAATTATTTTATTAATTAACGTAATTAAATTAACTACATTAAATAAAAACATATAGCCGAAATATGTTTTAAAAAAAAAATGAAAATGTATTATTGCAATACGTTTTATAACAAAAATAAATAAAATTTCAATTTACCACAATCATTAACGAAAAATCAACACCTTAGATATTTAAATAATAATAACTCCAATTTTCTTATAAATATTGCTGCCCACTAAACAATATACTCCAAAGTCCAAGTGCATTCATTCGTCGTCTTCGGTCTTCCTCCGAAACCTGTCACTGAAAAACTTCAGACAAAAAAAGAGAACCCAAAAAACCATAACAGAGTGAAAGTTTCACTAATTGATCATTTAAGGATATGTCTGTTGTTGTCTCTCAGCTCATTTTTTCACCGTTTAAAGGCATGGGCAGCTGTGATTTTTTCCTTAACCCAATTTTCCTGCGTTTCTTCACAGCTTCTATCCACCTGATTTTGTTTGCTGTCCTATTCACTTCATGTCTCTACAAAAAAATTTCGAGCAAGGCAGATGATGAAAACCCAAAAACTAATTCAAGACAAACAAGTCTTATGTACTACAAGACTGCCCTGTTTTCTAGCTTGGGCCTTTCAATCTTTAATCTCATTCTATGTCTACTGAACCTCTTTTACTGGTACAAAAATGGATGGTCTGATGAAAAAATCTCGACTTTCCTGGATTTTGGAGTAAAAGCAGTAGCTTGGCTTGCTCTCTATCTTTCCTTGCTAATCCATTACTCAAAATCCATGGAAGCTAAGTACCCACTTGTTCTGAGGCTCTGGTGGGGTCTTTTCTTCTCGGCATCTTGTTATTGCCTAGTGATAGACTTTGTTTATTTTGCAAAGCATTATTATTTATCATCCCTTTTTTGGGTCTCTGATATTGTTTCTTTCCTAATGGGTTTAATCTTCTGTTGTATTGGTTTCATTGTGAAAAATGACCAAGACAATTTTCTTCAAGAACCCCTTTTAAACAATCATGCTGCTGCTGCCAGTGATAATATTGAGGAGTCTAGCAAGTCTTCTCAAGGGGATCAAATTGTGACCCCTTACTCTAAAGCTGGTATCTTGAGCCTCTTCACTTTCTCTTGGATGAGCCCTTTAATTTCCCTAGGTTACAAGAAGAGGTTGGATCTCGAGGATGTCCCTCAGCTCGCCTTTTCAGATACGGCTCAAGGATCATTCCCGATTTTAAACGCCAAGCTTGAGACTTATCGTGAGGGGAGCAACCGAGTCACCACACTCATGCTGGCCAAGGCACTGTTCTTCACCACGTGGAGGGAGATAACAGTGGCGGCCTTCTATGTGCTCGTGTACACCGTGGCCGCCTACGTGGGCCCGTTCCTGATCGAAACCTTCGTCCAGTACTTGAACGGGCGTAAGAGATTCGAGAAAGAGGGCTACGTTTTGATTTCTGTGTTTTTCATAGCCAAGTTGTTGGAGAGTTTGGCACATAGGCACTGGTTTTTCAAGGTGCAGCAGGGCGGGTATAGGGCTCGGGCGGCTTTGGTCTCCAAAATCTACAACAAGGGCTTGACCCTCTCGAGCCAGTCGAGGCAAGGCCACACGACAGGCGAGATTATTAATTTCATGTCGGTTGATGCCGAGAGGATAGAGGAGTTTGGCTGGTACTTGCACGACCCATGGATGTTTGCTCTACAAGTGGCCCTGGCACTCGTGATACTGTATAGGGATGTCGGGCTTGCCTCGATAGCTGCGTTTGTGGCCACTGTTTCGGTGATGTTGGTTAATATGCCTGTGGGGAAGTTAGAGAAGACTTTTCAAGAAAATCTCATGAAATCCAAAGACGGGAGGATGAAAGCAACCTCCGAGGTTTTGAGAAACATGAGAATTCTCAAGCTCCAGGCTTGGGAGATGAAGTTCCTCTCCAAGATTCTTGATCTTAGGAAAGTCGAGATGGGTTGGTTGAGAAAGTATGTATATACTTCGGTCATTCTCACTTTTGTCGCTTGGGGGGGCCCTACATTTGTGTCAGTGGTGACTTTTGTTGCTTGTATGCTGATGGGAATTCCGCTTGAGTCAGGTAAGATTTTATCTGCTCTAGCAACCTTTAGGATCCTTCAAGAACCCATTTACGCTATTCCTGATGTGATATCCGTAATGGTTCAAACCAAGGTTTCTCTCGATCGCATCGCAACATTTCTTTCTCTGGACGACCTTCCACCAGATGTTGTGGATAAGATTCCGTTTGGTAGTTCAGATACGGCCATTGAGGTCATCAACGGAAACTTTTCTTGGCAAGTGGCATCTCATGTTCCCACATTGAGAGAGATTAGTTTTAGAGTGTCATGTGGCATGCGGGTTGCCGTTTGCGGCATGGTTGGTTCTGGAAAGTCGAGCTTGATTTCGTGCGTATTGGGAGAAATGCCAAAAATATCTGGGGTTGTTCGAGTATCTGGATCAAAGGCATATGTAGCTCAATCGCCATGGATACAGAGTGGAAAGGTTGAGGAAAATATATTGTTTGGTAAAATGATGGATAGACAAAAGTACAATAGGGTGTTGGAGGCATGCTCGTTGAATAAGGACTTGGAAATTCTTCCATTCGGGGATCAAACTGTGATTGGTGAGAGAGGAATCAACTTGAGTGGCGGACAGAAACAGAGAATTCAAATCGCACGTGCTCTTTATCAAGATGCCGACATTTATTTGTTTGATGATCCCTTTAGTGCTGTGGATGCACATACTGGAACTCATCTATTTAATGTAAGTACCACATCTTATATAAGTACGTAGTTTTATGGAACCAGTTGATAAATTACGGGTTTTATTGTTTTCCATGCAGGAATGCATTATGGGGCTTCTTGGTTCCAAAACTGTAATATTTGTCTCTCATCAAATTGAGTTCCTTCCCGCCGTAGACCTGATTCTAGTGAGCATTTGATTCTGTAAATTAATGTTGTGTTATTTCCATGAAAACCAGTAAACTCATTATCGTTATGGTTTTCTTTCTCCAAAATTTTACCAGGTTATGAAAGATGGGACAATTAAACAAGCTGGCAAGTACAACGACATTCTCACATCCGACAGCAACTTCATGGAACTCGTTGGGGCCCACGAGGAGGCCCTATCAGGTCTCGATTCCATTAGTGGCAATGAAGGGTCCTCTGGAGTTTCTAAATCGATTCTGCAAAAACAAAAATCTCAGAGCAATAAGAAGGATCAAATAGAGAATGATGAGGAGGAAGCAAAGGCCCAACTAGTCCAAGAAGAAGAGAGAGAGAAAGGAAATTTGGGAGTCTCAGTATACTGGAAATATATCACAACAGCGTACGGAGGATTGTTGGCGCCAGTAGCATTGCTACTTCAAATCGTGTTTCAAGCACTTCAGATTGGGAGCAATTATTGGATGGCTTGGGCAACACCCGTGTCTAAGGACGTGCCACCTCATGTCACAATCTTAACTCTCATCCTTGTTTATGCTGCTTTATCAATTGGGAGCTCATTTTGCATTTTGGCCAGAGCCTTGGCCGTTGTCACTATTGGCTTCAAGACAGCCAATGTACTATTCAGCAAAATGCACCTGTGCATATTTCGTTCCCCCATGTCTTTCTTTGATTCCACCCCAAGTGGTCGAATTCTCAACAGAGTACGTAAAAATGCGCATTTAATTTGTTTGCTATTTTGTCCTAGTAATTTTTCTTTACTTTTTTTTTTTTTTATTGATATTGTTGCAGGCATCTACAGATCAAAGCACTGTGGATTTGAATGTAGCGTCTATAATTGGACAATTTGCTTTTGCCGTGATACGGCTTCTGGGAGTTATCGTTGTAATGTCGCAGGTCACGTGGCAGGTCTTTATTGTTTTTATTCCAGTGATTGCAATTTGCATGTGGTTGCAGGTAACATTTTTTTTTCCCTTCACAACCGAATGTTAGCGTTACGTCTTCATGGATTGATTGAAATGTTCTAATNGTTTTTATATGTTTAAGTTTATCTATCATTCTTATTATAGATTTTCATGTGTGGTTTTGTTGGTAAAAAGCAAAATATTTCCTATAACAGCGGTATTACATAGCTTCAGCACGTGAACTTGCTCGACTATGTGGTGTGTCAAAAGCTCCTGTTATACAGCATTTCTCAGAAACACTATCAGGATCAAGTACAATAAGGGGTTTCAATCAAGAGTCCCGATTTCGTGATTTGAGCATGAAACTAATAGATGCATATTCAAGGCCCAAGTTGCACACGGCTGGGGCCATGGAATGGCTTTGCCTTCGGCTAGACATGTTATCCCTCTTGACATTCGCCTTCTCGTTGATTTTGTTGATCTCTATACCAGAAGGAACAATTAATCCAAGTAAGTTTTTCCATTTGTTTTTTTCTTATAATATACACTCTCTCTTTTCATTAGTCATCATCCTTTTTATTCTCCTCAACTGTGTGTAGGTGTTGCTGGGTTGGCCGTGACGTACGGACTTAGTTTAAACATGTTGCAAGCAACGGTTGTTCGGATTCTTTGTTTTATGGAAAACAAAATCATATCCGTCGAAAGAATATTGCAGTATACTTGTATTCCAGCTGAGCCGCCTCTAGTTGTAAATGAAAATAGGCCAGAGAATGTCTGGCCACTACATGGAGAAGTTGATATTCATGAACTTCAGGTGATTTTCTTTTCCTGTTTTCATCAATAATAGTTTTTTTTTTTTTTAAAAAAAAAAA